GTCGCCGCGGTTACGTGCGATCGCGCCGCGAACGGCGTTGCCGCGGCTAAAATACACGGACGATTACGTCCGTTTATCGCCAATTAGAGAAAATGAACGGACCGTGAGGGCACCTCGTTTCGATTCTAATTACGCCCCGGCGCGAGCCAACCGCGAGCCTCCAACACCGACGCTGACGAGTTCTTAAGTTACGCGTCCCATCATCCCCGATCTCCTTCATTCTTGCAAGCTTCGGTTTACCTTACAAGATTTACCCTAACGGTCGAAACTCTCCACTGTTGGGACATGTTATAGCATTACGGGGACCACTAGTAAATTTGAGTATACCCCCTATGGTATTTGTAAATCGATTTAAAGTTCCCAATTTCCCGATATTTTGAAGCTCCGAGTATTCTAGTCTCCGAAATCGTCGTTCCATCGGTTTTCTCAGCCTTTCGAGTCCCATCCTCCTTCGCCGTTCGGCAGCCAGCGAGGGTTCGGACGTGCAAGAAGTCGACTAAGAAAAGGGTTGCGCCGGGGTGAAAGGACAATGGCAGGAGCTGGCTGAGGGATCGTCGAAAAAACGCTCATAAAGGGATAAACGTCAGATGGGACTCGAGTTTAATGGCGCGTAAACTTCGTCGTGCCCCTGAACGGCAGGGAACACGCGCTGTATGCAGGCCGAACGGAACGATGATGGAAGGGGTCCGTTCGTGACCCCTCCTCTCGCGATCGTCGTTTCCGTGCAGTCCGGGAGCGAACGTGTCGTCGTGTCTTTCGGTAAGCTGATATTTGGAGCAGGTCGATCGACTTCATTAACGGGTGTCGAGCAAATATTGACTCGGTCCCGTGGAAACTGGGGTACAAGAGGCGCGCGTGCGTGCACGCGAGCCGCGCCCCTCCTTTCGTACCGCTTTTATGCAACGCCGCGGCCAACAAGACGTCGATGAACAGATTATGGAGCGAACCTGGACCGTTTCGCGGACTTGGCAGAGTTCAAGGATATTTTTGCATATCAATGGAGAGGTACGCTTCTGGTCCGGTGGCGAGCGCGTTATCTGATGCTTCGTGCTCCTGATAAGCGTCTCGGTCGAAGTGGAACTCGCCGGAGCTACGAGGCCGTCTTGGGAACAGGAATTCGGTATGGGAAGAGATTCCGTGAACGTTTGGATTCCGATCATCGAAAATGGCACGGCGAATGCTAATTCGATCGCCCGTAAGGTTCCCCGATACTACAGCCTACAGGACGTCCTCAAATTGGTGGTCCATCTCGACAAACAAATCAAAGTGACTATTTTGTTTCTTGAAATTTCGGTCTTATTCAGAAATTTTTATTACAAAGATATACCAGAGAAATAGTCGTTCACAAATCCAATTCTTTAATTTGTTTAATCCCCTATTCACTGATCCATGGTTTATTCTAAAGTATTGCTTGTATGATTGTACTAGAAGCATAGCTAAAACAGAAAAGCATATCGCAATCCATACTCGAAAATTAAAGTATGTTTGTAAGTAGATTCCTTCTCTGAAACACAGCTCTTTACTTTGAGACTCCCTCTATGTGATAAATTAATTAAACACGCTTCTTCTGCAAGTCCTGCACGCATTCTCGAGCATCGTTAACGCTTGATAAGGACACGTATCGAGTTGAACTCGTTTGGAACACCTCCTCCACTAAGAAAATAAGTTTTTGCAGCTCTGACGAGCGTTGTATGACCGGAACGCCAATTTTGACGCGGCCTGTACGTGGTTGGCAAAGCGTTTGGGAGGCCAGGGTCGAAACGTCCGAATTCCTATGGTCGTATTGAAACGCCGCGAGTATCACCGTAATTCAAACCTCTCTATCTACGCAGTCGTGGCGCATGAATATTCAGCGCCGCTATTAATCGAGTGTTCCGTTGAAATCCGATTACGGAAACCAGAAATCAGGCTTCTCCGAAATCACGAAATACGGAGAAGCGAACCGTAGAACGATTCGGATCGAAATAAGAGCGGGCCGCTGGGACAGATTTCACGGAGTAGGAGGGCGATTTAGCTCTCGTTTATATAGTTCTTTTTGCCGGCTAAAATGACCTCTGCTATCTGCAGGCTGTGACCACAATGAGCAAATTTATGGGCCGGGTCTTGGAAAGAGGAGTGATCTATGCGGCCTCCTTCCACCTAACTTTGAATTCTATTTAAGACTATCGCGTAGTTGAAATAATTGCCACGAGGAACCTGCGTGGGACTAGAAACATCTTCGAGGCCCTCGATCCCAATTAGCCTATTTGAGGAGTATGAACTTGTCCTGAAATCGACCGAGAAAGTTGTTTCGGGCCTAAGACCGGCCCTAAATCCCAATTTGCCTCATTAGGGAGCGTGGATGCGTCCTAGAAACAATCGTGTTTCATCACGGAAAACCGTATGGTTCATTAGGCCCGAAACAGACCCGAAACCTTTACAGAAAATTACCACTTTGAACGTAAAATAGAGGTTTCCAAATTTGTCCTCACGTCTAAAATCTTCTCGATCCATCCGGTAGCTTTTTTAATACCCACCAAACTTTTCCATTCGATATTCCCGAGCGAAACTGCTTCCCTTTCGAGACGTTCCAGGATTTCCATACGTTTCCCTCGCCCTGTGTATCGAACCTACCAGGGTAGCATGAGTCGTGATCGTTGCGATGCGCTGTTCCTCGTACAAATAATCGATTCAACGGTATGCAAAAAACGTATTATTTGTTATTCTCCCGTTCGCTACCGGCGATATACGAAACGCGTACTTTCACGCGTCCACCCGAGAACAATGCGTTAAGTTTCCATTGACTTAGCATATCCCCTGAAGCCGAGTAGCAAGATTAGGGCAGGAGAAATCGATCTCTGGCGTCGATGCAGCCTTGGCCCGAATTAACCTTCGTGGGATAGATTCCGATATCAGCCTCGAAGCCCGCGTCTTCGTGATCCTTTGTAAAATCAATAGGCTCGGCTACTTAAATGGTACCGTTTGCTGGTTATAGTCACCGGCGGCTACGGCTGCGGGCCGCGGTTACGGTTACGAAGGTTGAATCGATGCGCTCTGTGATTTACTGTTAATCGCGAGACCACTCTTAATCAACGTCGACCTGCGTGCACAGGCTCTCTCGCTCGAATATTCCACGCGGAGCGCATCGATGGAAACAACGTCCCGATATTAGCTCCGCGCCCCGTTTTTGCGCCGCTTAACCTTTCCTCCCTCTTTCTCTCGGCCGGTGATCTCTTTGCACGCTTGCTCGCGCGATTCAAAAGCTTCGAGTATATTCTCACGCGGTTCGCCATGCTTCTTGAGCCTTCCTTCCCGCGATAGCGCCAACCGTCTTTCAATTATAAAGCTTAAAACACGTAATTGGCCACGTGCACGGACCTCCTTGCAATCCCACACAAACTGCCCCAACGAACTCCTCAAGAGCAAAACTGATTTTTCAAAGTTTCAACTATTCATTGATCTATGAAAACTAAATTAAGCAAACATTCTTAGGAATGTGGATGTACCAGAAAAGTATAGAAGAAGTTAAAAGAGAAAGAAATGTTGGATGTCGGATGTCGCCTGTACACGCATCGAAATCACCTGCACATGCATCGAACTCTCCTGCACACGCATCGAAGTCGCCGGAGGATCCTCTAATATTGAGAGCCAACGGACCGAAGCATGCTGGAAAGGGCCGAGTAGGTCAATGTTGCGCCACGTGTAGGTGACCAGAGGAGGAAAGATACCTGTTGGCTCCCGAGAAAGAGGGAAAAGAGGATTGTCTCGCCTCATCAGCCGGTGGAATGAAAGAAAGAGCGGGCGTCAAACAACTGCGCACGGGAAAAAACTTGGAAACCTTAACGAACCTGCGTGGCGACTTCTCCTTTTTTCCCTTCCCCGCGTTTCTCTGTCTCTGTTGGTCCGTGCCTAGAGGACCGGAGCGCCTTTCCTTTAGAAGAACAATTGCGAAGGGGCGATTAGAAGGGTTCGCGTCGTATCGCGGACTTTAATTGCAGTCACTTTGAATTCTCGTTAGGGCGCTCGCGGCAGCTGCAAGAAGCGCGTCTCTCACGAGATTGCTACCTTCGAATCGCTACTCTTCGACTATTTATCGAGCCGTTCCGAGATATTTGAGAATCGAGAAAGAAATAATTTTGGTACGGTAAACTGCTTTCTCTCCGTTAACGAGAAAGTGTATCAAAGATTAGTATCTAGGCGTTCGTGCCAAGGAGCCGGAGATGGTCAAAGATCTTATTTCGGTGAATTATGTGAACCAGCCGCGTTCGTTTAGGTAAAAGTAGACAACATTAGAAAGGGCCGGGTGCCCTTGACGTTCCGGTTCTCTTATCGCTTCATCGATGGTCTAATTTTATTCCAGTTTACTTGAAAAATGCGTCCATTTCCCTGACGATCGACCCGGCGGGCAGATGGTGCGCGCGTGTGAGTGTGTCTGTTACCTAGATAGCGCTGATTTATGATTTCCCGCTCGCACGAAACAAACTTCGTCCCGGTCGAACAGAAAAAGATACTTACACTCGCCCGGGGAATAATGGTCCTCTGTCAATCCTTCAACAAATTATATCGCGCTACCAACGGACCCGAGAGGGACAAGGGGCCCCGTCTGGTTTCCAAGCTGCGACAAATCTGTCGCAAAGCGTGGCCAATCCGAGTCGCGTCCAAAGTTAACGATGACGCCAACGGGTGGACAACGGAGAAAGACGAAACGAAATCGATAGGTGGAAACTGGACGCTCGGATGCCTAAAGCATTAGTGCACGCCGGTGAACCGTGTCAGGGGCGATAATGGTCGTAAAGAAACCGGGGAATAATTTTTCAAGCTCCTCTTCCCGGTAATCCAAATAGCATTCGAACGTCCCGTAAGGTATTGTGGGAGGAATAAAAATCGAAGCGAACGCGGAGAACCGGTTCGTCACTCCCTCCTACTCCGCGCCGGGTCTCGTGTCTTTATCTTTCCAAGGATGAGTCGGAGCTGACTGACGCGCCATTATCCTTCGAATAACATAATTTCTATAATTGCAGATGAACCAACAGTGCAAGGTCTGCGGCGAGCCGGCGGCCGGTTTTCATTTCGGAGCGTTCACGTGCGAGGGTTGCAAGGTAAGGAATCCGTTTAATCAGCCTCCTCGTACGCCATTTCACCTCCTTAAACATCATTTAACTTTGGAAAATTTTTTAAACCGACGTTCAAAGCCTAGCCTCCGGTGGAAACTAGAAATCTGAAATTTTGATTTGTCGTTTGAGTAATTTTCCACGCATAAAATAGTGTAAGATTAGATAAGGGATGGAGTTTGGGTGGGAGAATTACGACGCGGTTAAGATTTTTTAAATAAATTTACCAAAGTATAATATTCCACTCCTTTGCAATATACTTTTCGATGAGTTCCGAATGAGAACGAATTATTTCACAACCGAATGAATTGCTACGTCTCATTGATTATATATTGCTCGAATAAAATTGTTCCTAATTTCGCACGCTGCACGGTCCACGCGAAAGTAGTTAAGGAAGAATTAAGTAAGACGGAGTCACGGCGCGCACGCGCGTCGCTTTCCACGCGTCGAAATCACCGGCAGAAAATCGAAGTGAACGCGATCCGCGGTCTCCGGCGTCGCTTTAAAGCGGTGCCGCAACGCGTCCACTCCAGTTTAAAGAAAAGGGAAGGTTAATAAGCCGCGACGAATCGCGAGAAAGGACGACGAGCACGTACGCGTCGAGCCATCGATGAAGAAGGTGAGAAAGTCCGATCCTGATGGACCGGAGAGCGGGATGTCCGGGGAAAAAACGCTCGCCCGACGCGAATCCGTAAGTGGACGAGAGAATCGAGCGCGACGAATCGATTATCTCGGATCGTCCTCCTTCGAGGACGGTTTCGTCGGCGACGCGATCGTCGTAGAAACTGTGACGCGCGAACCGGGCCTGAGAAGTTTCGGTTCTCTTCTCTGTTCGTCGATGAACAAGCGTTCCTTCGTCTTTCGAAAGCACAAATTGGGCTTTGGTATAGTTCTCTATCGAAAGAAAGGAAAGTTAACCATTTGCATGAACAATATATTATGGATAAACCGTTGGAGTTGGTTTTCAGCAGATTTTTAAAAATAATACTTGTGGTAATTGCTTTAAAATCTAGTCGAAATTCACGAGGACCGAAAGGTCTGAGCGTTCGAGAGGCAACGGGGGCCCATCTAGAGGGAATCGCGCTTTCATCGCGATGTCCTTCGACGTTCTCCTGGCACAGCGATCGATAAGGACGCAAATAATATTCAATCGGTGGATTCCGCGGCGCACGTGCTCGCCGCGGGAACGCGTAGAGCCTCGAACGACAGGAGGATCGGAGTCTCGTTAGGCCGCGTTTAGTTGGCCAAAGGGTGTTGACCCTTGCTCTCGTCTCTCGTCCCACTAATGTGGTGCACCGTGGAATATCGGTACCGCATACTAAGTGACCCATCCGATAGTAATTGGACCTCATTAAGGCAACAACGGGCCGTGGCTGTCTCTGTTGTGCCGCGTGCGTTCGGTTTCCCGGAGACCGAGCCACCAGATAACGCGTTTTAGGTAAATTAGACTCTCTCTTTGTGGGACTAGGATCGCTCGGACGGGGGAAAATACGGCCGAGATCCGATACAGATTTATGTGCGTACATCCGTGCTGGCTTCGAAAGCATCGGTCCACGACCTGCTCTTTCCTCGACGTTCCTTACCCTTTTCTCGCCCTCTGAAGTCTGAAAATATTTCTGTTTCTATTTATCGAATTTGGCGCTCCTCTTCTCGGCTGGGAGCTGTTCCTCGAGAGACGGACGATTTTTCAAGCGGCTGAGGAAGCTCTGGCGCGCGTCAGTGTAGCATGAAAGATCGGTCGTCGGGTCGAGCGCCTTTAATTCTCACCTCTGGACTTTCGTGCGGTTCTCGATATCAGGGCCCGATGGCGCCGTTATATATCCCGCGATAACATCGAAACGCCGTGAGAGCAACGTTACGGCTTCTCTCAACCTCCCGAGCACATAGTTATGCCGGCGAAGCGTCGTACACAGCACGATGATAATATTAATTCCCCTGGCCAGGCGTATCGTCTTTCATCCCCGACTCCGTCGCCGGCGATCCGCGATCATTAATTAAACATTCAATTCGTATGAGAAATTTTCGCGTGCGTTCGACCCCGCGGCTCGCCTCGCGCCGGGGAACAGCTTGATCGATGCCAGATCAGGGGCGAGAAAAAGGTCCCGGGAACAGGGAGACGTACGATTCTCGATGTTAACGGTTACTTTTCCCCGGTTGAAAAAATCCCGGTACAGCTCTCCTCTCGTAACACGCTCCGTGATGCAATTCGTACATCCTTGGAAATAGACTTGTGGCAACTCGAGAATTTCTATTTCGAAGATCGATAATTCCCCCCAGAGAACGAAAGTCTTAACAAATATATCGGAAAAAGTTCCCTGAAGCCATCGACTCGTTTGATCCAGTGTATTATATTTCTCGAGACAATGCCCCTCGCCATGCTCAAAAGAAAATACAGCTTCGAATACGTAATACGTGTGCCCAAAGCTTTTGAACTTTGCGTTCGAGTAGTTCCTTTTTAAATTCGAACGAAAGACGAGCGGATGGTCAAGCTTGACGCGGTCGAAACGAGCTCGAACGGATCCTTCGTAAACACGTCTGTCCGCGTTCTTTTATTTACATTTAATTTCGACATAGAACTCTTTCGTGGCGCCGTGGAGGCCCTCCATTCTCACGGAGTTAGAGAGCAGTCCGGATCCGAGAGGGGGACCAGGGTCCGTGGACGTTCGGGAAATATTTGAAATAATTTACCGGGCCGTGCATTACGGGAGCGAACCGAGAAACGAGGGACACTCATTAGCATACTAACGACTGCCTTGAATTCCCCGCGTAACATCGGAGACGAGCACTCCCCTCTGCCGCCTCACGGCTCCCCTTTTCCATCGGGCTTCTTCCATTTTTGGTGGCACGACGTTCTCCAGATGTACGAAAGACAACGCGTGATCCGGTCCTCAGCCTCGATGGGACCTGGACCGATCGACGATCTAAGAAAGAATTCCGTGACAACGCGACCGTTTTTTATTCCCCGCGAAATTTTCGGGAAGCGTTACGCGTTTATCGTGGGCTGTAACTCGCGTCGACTTTCTTTCCTTTCTTGGTGCATCCTTTATTGCATTATTCAAGTGCCAACGGGGAACGTATAACGATGGCAACAGTATTCATTTTTATTATCAAACATAAATCTTGATTTTTATTCTTACTTTTTCATACGAAACTATTCCTATATGTACTCGATCATAATGCACTTAAGCGGTCTCTCAAGTTTTCCTTGGAAAAACTATACTGTAACTAACGTTTTTTGCAACTTCGTATATTTTATTGCCAAGATTGCAGAAGAGGATAAACGTTGTTAACGCAGCGGTGCATTTGTGAGAATACTCTCAAATGAACCGAAAACGATTTCTTCGCAGGTTCTGCGTGGCATTTTTTGTCTCGTTTCGCGAATTATTTTTCCAAACCAGTTTGTATTTATAGTTCCGAAAGGCCGTATATTACGCGCGATATCGATGATACGAATAGCTCGAGAAATTCCCCGTGTCTAAAAATAGAAGTCGAATGCTATATCTAGGAATTCAGACCTCTGTCCCTACTTTGTGGCACATCTCCCGCTGGTGTCCGAATTCCACGTCGACCCGTTGGCAAAATAAACGAGAACCGAACCCGGTTCGAAGGCCGATCGAGACCCGTTGCGCGTTGCGTTTCGATATCGGTCCATCGAGTACCAGTGACCCGTTTAGAAAACACTTTGATACAGCTTTTCAACGCATTCTTAAAAATCTAGGCTAAAGAAAATCAATGTTTTCCACTCGACGGATTAGAAATCAATCTAAAGACACGATTCGAAATTCGTGTCCGTATGGGAAGACCCAGTGTGCTGCTCGTTATGGTCCCGGATCGGGTGGATTTCGCGGATTCGCGACGCGTTACGATGCAAATCATTGTGCCATTGTTTTCCCCTGGGTCGATTATGCAGGCGACCGACATCGCGAGAACTTTTCGGCAACCGTCGCCCATTCTGTCGACGCGCCGTGAAATTGCCGAGCGATTCACGAAGACCTCGGTGTTATTCATCGCGAGAAAACGAGGACGGATCGAGGACGCGCGACAAAGCGAGCGTCGGAGAAGTCGGTTTTCGAGCGACCCTTTCGAGCCGGGACTGTCCTGTTGTGCTCGTTGAGCGACCTCAGCCTGGAATCCGCGCTGCTTCCGGCGGGTGAATCCGAAAAGGCACTTAGCCCCGATGGAACTGTCGAGTTTTCCGGCAATTCACACCACTCCAGATTCGAACACCAACAAAGACAACGTTAGCAACTACACACGGAAGCAATTTAAGGATCGGAATATCATCGAGGATCGATTTTGCGCGCAGAGTTTGATTTTCCCCCGGATCGACCGGTATTTCCCGGAGATTATGCTCGGAGCGGGGCTGGCGCGCGCGATTGCGTCACAAGAGAGCACAAGAATATCGAAGTGGATTACCAGAACGCTTTATGCAACGCAGCGGGACACGTACATGCAAAGAGAACACTTCTTCTTTCGAAGCGGGATAAAAGTGACAGTGAGAGGGGGGGCCCCGGCGAGCACAATGGCACAGCACCAGAAACCGTTTAGGCGGCCTGGAACGATTTCCACAGCGACGGACGATTTCGCGACGCGCGATTAGCGTTTCCCGTCACGATCGACAGATTAGTCGACCGGTTTGTTTTTTTGCCACGGTGCTTTATTGCTTCGCTGGGAGTGTCCACCGGTGCCGAGAGAGACCCGCGACTGAATATATCGACTGTCGGCGCGAGAGTCCCTTGGACGGAACACCGTCACGTTCCCGTATTTTGTACGAGCACACACCGAACTCGTCCGCTAAATCGTAACGATTCCGCGCCAACTCGAGCGGTTACGCAAAACCTGGAACGCCGGGGCGACTTCGACTTTCGACGAACCAGAAGCCATTGCAATTGTATCGTCGACGAGCGCGTTGGCGAAATCGACGACGACGGAGCCGATCTTCCGTTTTTAATCGCGATCTGGGAATTTTTATTCATTTTTTTTAACGT